AATAAGTTTTGGTTAAATCTTCACAAGTGGTTATAAATTTTGTAATAAACTTATAACTATTCTCATTGTATATATTTCAATATTTCATGAGAAATTACTTTTGAAACTAATATATTTGTAATTCATTGAGCGGGTTTTAAACTAACATTGGTATTAGAAGTACAGAGATTACTCACAGGAATTTAATCATTTGATTCCTCCTTATTATAAGCTGCTTCTGATGATGAAGAATTTTTCATCGTTCTGTGTTCTATGATTGGATCCAGTTTGATGATTTCAGAGTTCCATCAGTTATGAATTAAATCCAAAGTTCTTCAATGATGAGAAATAGATTGCACATAAAAAGTCAAATGGACTTACTCTTTTTAAAAAGTTTATTAACTTAAAAATATTACAAGACAGAATAATAGCAGTACACCTAACAGATTTAGTACCATCGGCTCTAGTTGCGGGAGTTTATGTTACTAAATCTGAGGCCAAGGCCCTTCATGGGTTGTGGTGGTACAGGTAATGTCTTCTATCACACATTATCAATTATTTGATATTAATGTCAATCTAAACTTCATATCATTACCACGAAATTTTCCATTGATTGATATCGAATATGACTCTGTTGTCCATGACTTTTTAGAACCATTAAAAGAAAGAAACATTGGATACTAATTTGAACGATCTAAAATGTTGTTTATTGTTTATTTATGCTTTAAGGCGTAAAACCCCGGGGTCATCAACGCCTGTGAGTCAGTTGTATTTGTAAAATATTTAGAGGAGAAATAAAAAATAAAAAAAAGAATTAATACTGAAAAATTAATAATAGATAAATAGAATAATAAATTAAAAACATATAAAAAATGAAATATATTAAAATAAATATAAAAAAGAAAGCACAATAAAATAAAAAGATTATATTTATTTTTATATTTTATTTAATATCCTATGTACACTGACAGGTATAAAATTCCACCCACTTGATTTTTTCTTGTTTTCATCTAAAACTATTTGGATTGGTCTATTGTTTTTAATGAATACATAGGTAATCTTTTTGTTTGTTTTCAATTAGGAATGTTAATATAGAGGACAATAACCCTTAAGCCTTAATTCAATGAAATGATTCTAGATTCCAATGTTTACTTTCTTTGGAATCAAAATGTTTATTCAGTATTATTAGTTCAGTGCCGTTTCTTGCAGCACATTTCTTAGTCTCCGGCTTTTAATTTTTTCAATATTAAGTTTAAAAATGCCTCTTAATGCTGAGGATGTTGCGCGTGGTGTGGCGCTTATTGATGATGGACGTTCCATTAGACATGCAGCTAATGCCATCGGAGCTCCATATGAAACTTTACGAGACGCCGTCAGGCGTTTTCGGGAAACTGGTTCTTACAATGGACGGCCTAGGGTAACAGAACCACAGGATGATCGGTTTTTGACTTTGAGAATTTTACGAAACCGGCACATTACCGTTGTTCAAGCGATTCATCAGCTCGAAGAAGTTCGAGGTGTGCAAATTTCTGAACGTACCGCTCGGAGAAGATTAAATGAGTATGGATTAATGGCTTTTGCTCGAGAACACAGCCATTGGACTATGGACGAATGGAGTGCTGCACTTTTTACAGATTAGTCAAGAACCGCTCTTCGATCTCCAGACGAGTGTGAAAGGGTGTGGAGAAGAAGAAACGAAAGATATGCAGCCTGTAATTTTTCACAGAGCCAACCTTTCCAACGTGGTTCCTTAATGGTGTGGACAAGTGGGTGGAATTTTTTGCCTGTCAGTGTATTTAAGAAAATTCGTCACTGTGTTTATGTTTGATTCGTTGTTGCCACTAGCGGATCCAGGATTTAATTTTGGGGGGGCTTCAGCCCGAAAGATTTTTTTTCATATAAGTATAAAAATGATTAATTAAAAAAAAAAAGAAGAAATTAACTACCTATACGAAATGATGTTTAAGTGGTTCTTGAAGTCCTATTAAATGTAATTAAACGAACAAGATATTTCATATTTTTTTTAACAATATTTGCAAAAATATTTAAGTTTTTGAGATATTCTCAAAAACTAAAAAAAAATATCATTTTTCTGTCCTTCTCCTCCTCCCCCCACTAATAACCGAAGCGGGATTCTTCGGGACTTTTTACCAATTATTATGGGGAGGGTAATGAACGTTTTCTGACAAGTTTCATCTTTATTTCGTAAAGCTCCTGGACATGACCTAATTACATCCCAGATCCTATAACTTTTTCCTCGAAAAGCCATCCTATTCCTTACTTACATATATAATGCTGTACTCCGTTCCACATATTTTCCTGATCCTTGGAAACGATCTATTGTTAAAATGATCCACAAACCCAAAAAACCACCAGAATACCCATCCTCTTACCGTCCTATCTCTCTTTTACCCATCATGGGCAAAATCCTAGAAAAACTCATCTTAAAACGCCTGTACCCTATCCTAAATTCTAAACACATAATCCCAGATCACCAATTTGGTTTCCGAACTTCCCATTCCACTATACAGCAATGTCATCGTGTGGTAGACGTAGTCTCCTCTGCATTGGAGCGCGGAATGTACTGTACGGGAGTCTTTCTCGACGTTGAACAGGCGTTTGATAGAGTTTGGCATCCGGGACTACCGTACAAACTCCTAAAATTCCTACCACTTACATACTTCCTCATTATCCGTTCCTACCTTACTGATAGATACTTTAAAGTAAATCACAATAACGCCTATTCATCCCTTTTTACCCAGTCCGCTGGTGTTCCTCAAGGTAGTATCCTAGGTCCTAACCTCTATACAGTTTATACAGCTGACATCCCTACCTGTCCCAACACTGTCATCACCACATATGCCGATGACACATGTATCCTATCAGTAAACAATGACCCAGCAATTGCATCCCAAATGCTTCAATCACACATCATAAATCTAGAAGAATGGTGTCAAAACTGGAGAATTAAAATAAACTCCAATAAATCCCACCAAATTACCTTTACCCTTAGTCGTAAACCAACGACTTCCTATCCTACAGTTTCCTTTAACAATACTCCAGTTATCCCTGTTGAGCAAATCCGATACCTAGGACTCCACCTGGACAAACGACTGACTTGGAATCCTCATACTAGACTGAAACGACAAGAAACCGCTCGATGTTTCCGATTACTTCAGCACTTACTAGACAAACGCTCTAAACTTCCCATTAATTACAAAAGACTCATATACTTGACTATAATAAGACCTATTTGGACTTACGGAGTGGAGCTATGGGGCTCCACTAAACCATCGAATTCCTCTCGTATCCAATCCTTACAATCCAAAATCCTTCGTAAAATCCTCAATGCTCCTTACTTTGTCACTAATAAAATTATCCATAAAGATCTTAATGTTCCTTATGTTTCAGATCTGGCCCAATCCTGGTACTTATCCTTCCATAATAAACTTCAGAATCATCCCAACCCTCTCGTTTCTAACCTTGCTTCCTCTTCAATTCCTGATAACCCTCCGAGGCGTCTGAAAAGAAGATGGCCCCGTGATCTCCTAATGTAGTCATATCATTAGAGTGCTACCATCGGGTAGTTACTCAGCAAGTGTATTCATGTCATTATATCAATTATGTTCAAATTTACTTGATGTATTTATGTAATACAGTTGTAAATGTCATAAAGAAATTTAAAAAAAAATTCTTTATTTACAGTATTAATTTACGAATAAAGCAGGATTGTTTCTAAAGCCGTGAGTGTTGTATCTCAAACCCTTTTCTTTTTTTTCTTTTTATTATTTTAGAGACACATTGGCGGAAGTTCATGCTTATGTCTTAGAATGGATGAAAGTAAGAGCAGCGACCTGTAGGACTTAAGGAGGGTGATCGCGGACCTGAAGCGCTTCGGTGGCGAGGTAGGTGAGCTTAATCATTTTTAAAGGGTGATGACCGCTTCATGTCCAAAATAGAGGTGAAAGTGTCAAAAATTCTGGTTAACCTGGGGGACGCCAAAGCACTGCAATCCTGGTATATTGGGTGAGGAGAAGTATCTTGAACCAGATGCAGGCAGAGGAGGAGACAACATAGCTGGTAATCCAGGAAAGCTTGATGAAGGCTTTCGAGGAAGGCAGGTGGACTTGGAATAGTAACGGAGGAAGGACGGTGGAATGGAGGCGGAGGAAGATGTTTGTAACCGACTGAACCCCTAACCCCTAAAAGAAGAGAAGAGAGGAAGTGTCATGGTTGCGGAAGGCTGGGACAACTAGTGGCACAATGTTCTCGCACTAGATGCTTCGAGGTGGGCATAGAAGGGCACATTGCAAGGCAATGTCCAAATATTTTTAAGAGGAGAGAAACATCACAGGTTGAGCCGGTGGAGGTCTGCATGCAAAAGGACCTATGTTAATGGACCAGTTTTTGATTCTGTTTATGGCGTCTTGTAATTCGTTCTGTAATGTTATAACGGTGAAAATGTTCTCGGACCGGCAAACAGTAAGGGTTTAACGCCTCTTTATAAATTGATTCCCAGGTCATTTTTAGCCAGTGAGAATAATGTTGAGCTTAGGACACAACCCTGAGGGACGCCACTGATCTGCTCATGATTCTGGGATAGTTCACAGCCTATTCTAACCCTAAAATGGCGATTTTTAAGAAATTTCTTTATGAACTAATACATCTGCCCATTGATTCCCACGGATGATAACTTTACACATTAGCCTTTATGATGATACATAGCAAAGTATGGGCTACAATATTGGTGAAAACCGTTTAGCTTATCAGAGGCTAGCCAAGGAGAACGTAAGTGATATAATAATGAATATCATTATAATCATAATCACTTTTCTCCATTCATAGAAGGTAATATATTCTTTAAATTTATTTGTCTCATCATCTCCATTCTTATTAATTCGTTCTTTTTTTTTCTTCTTTTTTTTTTTTTTTTAATCTAAGCCTGTTACTTTGTGATTTAATGGAAGAAAATAGCATTGCTTTTTTAACTATTTTTTTATTTACGAATTTGTTTTTTACAGGAAAAACTGCTCTTTTTCGTGCTGCAGTCAATGGTAGGTACAGTATATTCCAAATACTGTACGAAAAAGGTGGAGATCCAAACATTGCTCCAGATGATGGCTTTACGCTACTTCACTGGGCTGCACAAATTGGCAACGTCCAGATTATTCAACATATTCTGAAAAGAGTCAGAAGTGTCAATGCTATTGACAAAAAGGGACGTACACCGTTATATATAACGATGGAATTTGGTAGGGAAGAAGCCTATTTCTTTCTTCTGAAAAAATGTATAAAAAAATGGGAAGACTTCAGGACAATCGAAAGAAGAACTCTGTTACATGCTGCTGTAATAGGTGGAAATATTAGGATCATGAATGACATTCTGAAAACTAAACAAAATCTTGAAGTTCAGGATTCAGATGGAAGGACTCCAATGTTCCTGGCCTGTGGATTGGGCCGTAAACATAGTTATGACGTGTTATTGACTGCTGGTGCATCTCTAAATACTCGTACAAACGATGGAAGGACGACACTTCACGCTGCCGCCTTCGGTGGTAATCGACTCATAGTTGAATCAATCTTAAACATGACCAGATTGGTCAACGTGCGAGATTCATCTGGGAGATCGGCAATATTTTACGCTGCTGAAAGGAGCCGGACGGATGTATTTAATCTTCTAATCAATAGAGAAGCGGAATTAAATTATAAAACTGAAGGTAACTTCTTCTTATTTAATTTTAGAAGTTTTACCAAATACTTTTTCTAAATTAAGTAATCAATATTGACTTATTTTGCGTGTTTTACAATTCACCTAAAATTTATTACTTGTAAATATACAACAATGCAAACTCGATGAAAAAAAAAATATTTGTTAGGATATTATTGAAAGTTTCTAAAAACAAAGCCTATTTAAGAAGAATAAGGGTAGGTAACTTCTAAAATAGAAAGACCGAGTCCACAAGAACACATCTCCCCTCCCCTCACTCGCCTTATAGGCTACACAGGTTTTTCCCCGAGCAGAGAGACAGATCGGGGGAATTATGCCCAGTTAGAAGTCCCACTGGGCAACGGGATTTTCAATTTCTGATATTTGAACATACGTTCATTATATAGATTTGGAACACTTAAACAGTCCCTAGATCAGATAGACAAATATAAACTTGACCTTGTTATCATACTGAAAGTGCGCTGGACAGGAAGTGGAATCTTAGAAAAGAAAAAACATTCCATATATTTTAGCTGCAACGATGAGTTTGATACTGTTGCGAAATTCTTGCACCAAACCAATACCATGACCAAGACTCTCCTCAGTCTCGCATTTGGGCAACACTAATCAAATTAATATTATCATAATAAAATTGCTCCGTAGCACAATTCGCTAGTACTGGTCATGATAATAACTTTTTTTATATATTTCATTAGAGAATTCGTCTTAGAGGATGTCTTTTTCCTATATTTATCTTTTCTTTAAATTGCTGTTTTTTGGAACTTTTTTCCCGAATTTTTTTTTCACTATTCAGGAGGGCCGACTCATGGCAGAAATCACTATTACTGGTCACGATAATAATTTTGGTACATCACATTAGAAAATTCGTAGTAAAAGATGAACTTTTCCTATATTTCTCTTTTCTTTAAATAGCTGTTTTTTGGAACTTTTTTTCGGAATTATTTTTCCAGCATGCAGGGGAACGCGCCTCATGGCAGAAATCACTAGTACTGGTCACGATAATAATTTTGGTACATCACATTAGAAAATTCGTATTAAAAGATGTATTTTCCTTTATTTCTCTTTTCATTAAATAGCTGTTTTTGAAACTTTTTTTTGGAATTATTTTTCGAGGGTGGCGCGCCCTAAATATTTTTAGATTTCGGCGAAACCAAGGTCTATTACGATATTATTCCAGAAGTTTATTAAATTATTATTATCTCGGCGCAACAACCCGGGTCCAGGCCTCCACCAGCAACTGCCGCCAATCGGTTTCGTGCAGCCGCCGTCCAGTTGCGCACTCCAAGGATGTTCCAAGCGTCAGCTGCAATTTCGTCTTCCCATCAATGCTTCGGTCTTCCCGTTCCATAGATTCACTCCATCAAAAACTTCCTAGGCAACTTTTCTTCGCTCATGCGCGCGAAATGCCCCACCTACCGGGCCGGCCCAATTCAACCATCTGAACGACATTAGGCTCTCTAAATAGACCCACCTACCGTGCACCCCCCTCTCACTACCCCACATCCCTATAAATTGCATATCATTGTGTTCGTTGAAATTATTTATATATAAAAAATAGTGCTATAATAATAAAAGTAATGTTAATCCTTGAAACATTTTTATTTCAGGAGGTTGGACGATTCTTCATTCAGGAGCTAAAGGAGGAGACCCGAGTATAGTAGGAACAATTATATCCCGTACAAAAGATGTTAACATTCAAGATACTGAGGGGTGTACTCCCTTGCAAATAGCAATAAATACTTATTGTTGTAAGGGTCAAGCATTTCAGAGGTTAATCAAGGGAGGTGCTGATCCGAACATAGCTGACAATGAAGGGACTACTGTTCTTCATAAGGCTGCTCGTTATGGAGAAATGTATTTTGCAATATCTGTGCTTAATATCACAAATAAGTCAATCAATGCCTTGGACAAATATGGAAGAACACCATTACATTGGGCTGTGTACTACGACCAAATAGATATAGTAACGTTACTTGCTAAGTTCAAAGCTGATCCTCACATAGAAAATATTCATGGCTACACCCCATTGACTTTAGTAGCAGCAATGGGTTCTCTCGATATGATCAAGCTATTTTCGCACTACGAATATAGTGGGGAGGCTGTATTAGGTATAGCTCTTGCTTGGGGAAATCGAGATATTATTCTCTACCTGTTAGAAAACAAGATCGTTCCAACGGAAAATAATAAGGTCCATTTCGCTGCTGCTAGAGGTGATGACGAAGAATTAGAAAGACTTTTAGCTCATAATGTATCAACTAACGGACAGAACTTTACGGAGCTTATGAAAGAAATAGTCAAAGAATACCAACGATTTACAACTAAACTTGAAGAGGATGAAGTAGAAATCATTAATCCTTTAGATTTCAACCTGACGCCATTAGATATGGCTATTTTCTTCAATGGATCTTCCAGAACTGTCAACATTATCCTCAATAAACTAAATATTGATCTTATGATGAATGATCGCTCGAGATGGACAGCACTGGATATAGCGGCATTCTGTGGAAAAGAAACACTTGTCAGACATTTAATTGGTAAGGGAGTAAAAGTAGATTTTCCAGGACAAGACTCGTGGACAGCTATGCACAAGGCAGCATGGGGGGGTCATAGTACAATAATCAAGACATTATATCATAACAGTGCAGACATCAATAGAAGGGATGTTTTGGAAAGAACCCCTTTACACATTGCAGCTATGAGAGGCTACAACACAAGTGTTGATACAATTATCCAACTAAGTATGGATAGTCTCAACTTGAGAGATAGGTAAGTAAATTGGCCAAACTAATTAAATGTTGTATCATATAAAGTTATGAGAGATTTTAAACCAGAATTTAGTTTATTTTCATGAATTTCTTTATTCCAATAATTACATCATCGCTGTCCAAGATTTGGTTAAACTTAAAAATGGATTTCAGTCATTTTTAAAAGACAATTACCAATCAAACATTCAGTGATTCTTTCGCTTTTCAAAAGAATCTTTAAACTGTTTGTTTTCTTTTATTCAAAACTATAACAGAAACTGGCAAAAACTCAAGTTAAGATGGCAGACGAAACATCGGGACACAAAACAATACAACTTTTTTTTAGAATAAGTTTAAAGAATCTGGATGCGAAAAGGTTTCCTCAAAGTAACCATTTCCAGAGGAAAATTTGTGGATAATGTACATTATTATTGAAAGATGAGACATATTTGGAGGATGTTCATTTGAGGAGTTATAGTTCTACTTCAATATTTTCTAAAAGGGTAGGTTTAACGTATTGGAATAAAAGGTCTATCAGGGCATTGTATTTACAATTTATTTTATTATATTTGTCCAGGATTGTGTTGTTCAATCACAAGGTATATCTATTGGTCATTTTCTTGAAGAATTTCTGTATCAATTACGTTTTAAAAGGTTTAAATAATTGGCATATTCCAGTTGCCCCATTAACAGCCATCACCCCATATATGTAAGGAGGATTTGGACATCACGGATGAATTTTTTATGTTTGAATACCATTTTGGTTTAATGTGTACAAGAAATTTAATACAATAAAGAATTATCTGTGAATATTTTACTAATTATGTGCATCTCTCTCAGTTCAGCTTACTGCTTCAAGTGAAGAAGCATCGAGATGGTGGTTTACGCGAGTTTATAGTCTCGTCAGTGACCACAATAATCATACTTTGGCTTACGGACGTTTATAGCCTCGCCTAGGACCATTTACATTCATTCTTTGGTTTACGGGCGTTTATAGCCTCGCCAGTGACCATAAATACACTCACATGCACATGCACATGGACACACACACACACACACACACACACTATAATATATATACACTATAAACTATACACTATACTTATAGCGGTCTATAAAATTTGGTTTAGCAATGAGTTTCATCAAATTATTACTGACAGTTACAAGCTAGATATTTTGATGATTCTCGATATTTTCCATTATCTTACAGAAAGCTGCTTATTTAGTAACTGATAAAAATACTTTTCAAAGTCGTTGGAGGCTCCTTTTCCCAACTTTGTATTGTATTCTAGATACGAGCGAAGCCATGGTCTAAACTTTAAAGCACGGTGATTTTGTTCTTATTTTAATCCATGTTTTACGGCCTGTATCAAATTTTAATAATGTAGGACGTAGCGGATTCTTTTTCGGAAATGTGTTACTATTTGTTTTTAATTACAATTGGCTTCCAATGGTTCAATTGCTTCAGATAGGAAGGCAAGTAATTATGATTATGATGCATTTCTTGAGGTAGCTAGCGTTAATTTCGAAAATATATCCAATTTCATCTTCGTCCTCAAGATCGAAGATTTTTAAAGATTCCGAATTTTTAACCCACTGAAATCCTTAATATGGTAAATTCATACTCATTGATTGGCCGTAAAGTTTATTTGCATCTAAATAAATTATGTAACTGGATTCTTCGTTAGAATTAAGGTACTCATGTATTTTTTATTTGCTTTTGTATACCGGTGTGATACCTGTCACAACACCCCCTCCCTCCCTCTTCCCCCGAATTCCATGCTCTATCATTAAAATCATGACATAATCCTGTAATAGCTCTATGATCATTTTTGTATATTTTAACATCGCATCCCACGTTTTAACGTAAACACCTGCATAGTCTCCTAATGATTGACATTTGAATTATTTCCATATGTTTCGAGTATGTTTAGAATCTTCAACGCTGATATCAGTATCGCATAATTTATTGTAAAAAGCTTCAATGGGTGGGAGCTCTGTTTCATTTAATTTTCTGCATTATCTATATAATCGAATGGGAACACACTTTGTCTCGTAACCAATGCTAACTCTTCATCTATGTTATACTTTGAAGTTTTCTTAAATTTATCCATAGAGATTGCACAAGGTAATTCAGGTTTTTTGGCATGAATCTAAAAGGATCTATGAATCTCAATTTTATTTTATCAACATGTTTCGTGAAGGATATATATTTTTCCTTGTTATTTGGTATTACCTCAACTTCTCCTGGAATATTTCCTAATCCTTAACTATAAATGTGCGTCATACTTGCTCAAGTTATGCATCACAACAGATACCAATGAGGGATTTACACGTTTTAAATTACAATTATTACAAGATGATAATAATCCTCTCTTCTTAAACAAAATTATTATGAAACTAAAAATAATGAAGCTGGACTGTCAAGAATAGTGCAAAGCGGCTCTCGTCATAGGGACTTCACGATTGGATATTGGAATGTTTTGACGCTATACGGTCACCTTCAACAATTTCTGGAGGTGCTGAACCGATACAAATCAAATATAACTGCGCTCCAGGAAATTATATGGACTGGCAAAGGCCATTTACAAAAGAGGAAACACACCATCTATTACAACTGTGACGACAGATTGCATACCTACGGAACGGGCTTTGTTGTGTCTTCGAGTTGTAAAGATTTGATCATGGACTTCAAACTAGTGAGCCCGCGTCTCTGTTTACTTAGGGTCAAAGGTAAATTTTTCAATTACATCTTGATTAGCTGTCACTCACCAACTGAGACCTCTGAGGAACACGATAAGGAAGAGTTCTATGACTTGCTTGAAAGGACAATAAGCACCTACCCAGAGCAGATATCAAGATCATCGGAGGTGACTTTAAATCTAAAGTCGAAAGGGAAAGAAGTTACACCTCAACAATCTGAAAGCACAGCCTACATGAAATAAGCAACTATAATGGACATCGGCTGGTCAATTTCAGTGAATCACAGAACCTCTAATGGACTCACTGTTAATCAGATAGATCATCATTTGATAAGTATCAGGCATAAGTAAGACCTTCTTGATGTAAGAGCATATAGAGGAGCAAACGTTGACTCCGATCATTATCTCGCCATAGTAAAAATAAGATCAAGAATCTCTAATGTAAAAAACTAAAAGGGCCACAGAAGTAATAAAATTAACACCAGCAAGATTAAGGATACCTCCGAATCGGAAAAATATGCATTGAATGTTGATAGAGAACTTGATATACTCCCTATGCATACCTATGACATAAAACAAATGTGGTGTGGCATAGAAAGCTGTGTTAGGAAAACTGCCTAAGAAACAATCGGAGTTGAATGTTACCAGAGAAGGGATAACTGATTTGACAAGGAATGCAAAAGAGTCACTGATGTCAAGAATCAGGCATATAAATCGATGCTTAAAAGGAGACACACAAGAACATCGGTAAATCTCTATCGCAAAAGAACGAAGGAAGAGAAACAAGTGTACAGGAGAAGGAAACGGAGTTGGGAGAATAAGCAGTTTGAGAAAGTTGAGCAGCTCAGGCATACAAACAACTATCATAATTTCTAGAACTAATAATGAGCGAAAGCCGTTTAAACCATGAACCATTGTATGTAGGAATAAAGGATGGCACCCTTCTCACAAGTATGGACCTATTAATGAGGAGGTGGAAAAACCACTTCGTCGAACAAGATCAAGCTTACCAATTGGATCCTAACCTTAAAAGAAATAAGCTTGAATATGAGATTGAACCGCCTGATTAGGAAAAGGTTTGTGAATCAATTGAGAAACTAAGAAACCTAAGGTACCTGGGGTTCATGACTGGCCCGGAGGACTCTTTAAGAAAGAAGACGGAAATCTGGTTAAAGCCTTACAGAGCATATTTGTATCCGTGTGGACATCTGAAATAATGAAAAGTTCTTGGAAAAAGTCGATACTGTGTCCAATCCACAAGAAGGAGGATGTACTCAACGGTCAATTAGATCTTCTCTCGCTCCGTATTATACTGGAATGAAGCACAGAGTATTGCGTCTTGCTGTCCAAATGCGTGCTTATATAATTTCATCGTAACTAATGTGGATATTTTAAAAACTTTTAGGTAAAATGTGTTTTGCAGTGTTATTAAACAGGTTGAAATATCGGAATGAAAATACAAATTAAGAAAGTTTACATACGCATAACATCAACAGATGTTGAAAATATATTTAATAAATAGTTAAAAATAAGTGGGGGCCTAATTAAATCCATAGATAAATCAGACGAAACGGATTATGAAAATGAATTATTGAAAAAGGAAATTATGCACATACCCATGAGATTAATACAATCGGAGCAGAATAATATTTTTAGCTCTGAGATTGAATATCTAGTCTATCGGACTCCTTCCACTCCTAGATCATCTTTGGTGGTCGCCTATTATGTTTTCATAATATAGATATATCCTACTTTGTAGAATATTAGTCATTATCTTATAGGCAACTGGAAGAAGTGCTGTCTCTGTAATTACCAAATTCGTACATGGAACCCTTCTTAACGATAGGACAGATCAGCCCTGTGTTCCAGGTTTCTGGTATCCTTTCCTTCTTCCATATTTTCTGGATTAGTTCTAACAGCTTGGCTCTGGGGTGTTCTCCCCCATCCTTGAACAATTCTGATGGTAGGTTGTATATCCCTGCAGCATTTCTTCTTTTAAGCCTGATTTCCACGCTCAGAATATCAAGTTTTTCAACCTCAAGTGGGTCGAAGTCCTCAGTGTGGTCCATGCCTTCTTCGTTTGTGGGGTGTCCTTGATTAAGCAGCTGCTGGAAGTGTTCCTTCCATATGCTTAGAATCTTTTCTTTTAATGCCGTCAATTTGCCATCTTTCTCTCGCATTTGCTTATTTCTCGCTTTATATCCTACACTTTCTTGCCTGATATCTGTAAGAATTCACATATATTTCCAGCCTGCCAGTTTTCCTCAATAGTTTGTAATATTTCTTTGAGGAATTCTCTTTTTGCTGTTCTTATTATTTTGTTGTTTTTATTCCTGGTGGCTGTATATTTGTCCAGCAGTTGCTAAGCAGAGGACTTTTCTTCTTTGCTCCACCGCCTTTTCGCATGCTTCTGTGACCCTTTCTTGGCTTTTCTGTTTTCCTGAATCCCTTTAACTTCCTTAGCTGTTTTTTAGCCTTGGCTCTAGTGCCTCCCAATGCTGGTCAACCATGAGGGCTTCCGCGGTCAACGGTTCGAATTTATTTTTCAGCACAATTAGGAGTTCAGTCTGAACTATAGGGTTTTTCAAATTATGGACTTCGTACCTCTTTCTTTCAACTTGGTCTTCAATTTGGTGTATTCGTTTCAGCCTCCAACACAGTTTGATTTTAATCAGAGTATGGTCCGAATCACAATCTGCTCCTTATGTCTTGTATGGAGCTTTGATGCCTCTTGTCTATCAGCACGTGGTCGATTTGGCTATTTGCTCCTTTAGAACTTACCCAGGTGTACTTATGTATGTCCATGTGCGCGAACATTGTACTGATCACTACTAGACCTTTAGCTGCTGCCAGACTGATACATCTCACTCCATTATCACTGCTGGTTTCGTGGAGACTTTGGCCTCCAATCATGAGCCTAATGTGTGTGTATATGTGTGTGTTGCGTGAGTAAGTATGTGTATGTGTGTGTGTGTGTGTGTGTGTGTGTGTGTGTATATATATATATATATATATATATATATATATATTATATATATATATATATATATATATATATATATATATATATATATATATATATATATAGTTTCCTTTTGCACATAAATTATATTTGGTTTTTCTTGTACTTTTAATGATTGTAACCTAGTTTTTTCATTTATATCTTATGTAGGTTTTTTATGAGATTTTTCCTACTGTAAAAAATGAATTTCAATTTTCTAAGTAGAATTCAAACCACTATTATGTCATGTGTAACCATAAACATGTAACTTATCAGTATGACATGTTGTAATGTATATATAAGAAAAAAAATAAATAAAACAATAAGCCTAAATTTGGTTTCTCGACCTTGCTTGGCATTGAAGTCTCCCATAACTAATTTTATGTCATATTTTGCAGCCTAGTTCACAGCTTTTTCAAACTGAACGTTGAAATCGTCCTTCATTTCTTTTTCTTCGGTTGGTGCATACACGTTAATAATTGTGATATTAAACTAACGACCTCTTACATGCAGCACAATTATCCTTTCATTAACTGGGGTGAAGTTTATTACTGACTTCCTAGCGGCCGGACTAACTATAAATCCAGTGCCAGCTGTCCTATTTTTGTCGTTTCTCCCTGTGTAGAACAGTGCGTGGCCATCTATAGTTGTTTCGCCACCATATGACACCTTACCTCTATTATGGCTGTGTACCTTTTTACTTCATTTACTACAGTTTGGGCGGCCCCGGGTCTGTATAAGCTCCTACATTCTATAACCCGATATGGAGTCCGTTATACAAACCTGGGATCATTACCACGTTAAGATATTCAGATTTTCCGAAGCTGGATTTTGTTATCGTAATAATGTGTTTTTTACGGGATTGCATTATTATCCCTATACCCAACCCTCGACCCGAAGGACCAGAAGCTATGTCAGACACAGGGGTCGCTCACCTCCCTACTGTGTGAGTTGCCTACAGTAGGCTGGCGGGTTTCACATACCCAAGGGTTGAGTGGAATCTCGGGCAGCGTGGCTTTTCTAGATGGACGGTCCAAGAATCGGGCGGTCGCTCATCCAAGTACTAACCACGCTCGACGTTGCTTAACTTTGATTACGTATTGCAAGCGCTTTAAACTCCGGTCCCCTATGAAAATTCTATAAGTATAACAAATAAAATGTAGTCCTTACGTTACATTTACGGCCCCAAAAAGACAAAAGAAGGGCACAGACTAAGATCCAATCAGGAAATATACAAGAAGAGATCTAGAAACGAAAATAAGGATCAGGAGACTGGAATTCCACGGACATATGGTAAGAATGGCCCTAGAAAGACTTAACAAGGAAATATTCCAAAAAATCCGTAGATACAAAAGCTTGGGAGGATACATCAGGAAGATGAAGGAAGAAACGGAAAGACTTGGAATAACGGACCAGGACTGTCTGGACGGAGAGGGGTATGGTAAGAGACTAAAGGAGATCACGGTTCTTGTTAAGAAGAAAAATTCGAGAAAGGGAGTCGCGTGGACGGAGGAGAGAAAGCGGCGGCACGCGGAGATAATGAGAGAGAAGTGGAAAGAAAGGAAAAACAAGAAAGAAGCCAAATGTCATGATATTCGCGTGGTCTCTATGGCCGTTCCGTGAAAAAAAAATGTAGTAATACTCAATGCGTGATAATATTATACATACTTTTGTCCTGGTAGATTTCCAATCGGCTCTCCCTGAGCCACTTTAATAAAAAAACCTACTAAGCCATGTAGCTCCGAGGCTCTGCGTCTGAACTGGCTTTTCTACAATACTCAGGTGTACTTTTTTTTCGGTTGGCGCTACAGACCTTGTAGATCTTTGACCGCGAGATGTGGTCTTCTAGACCTCATCCCGATTCCTGATTTAAGAACACAGGGGTAGGTTCATCAGTCCTATTCCTGTTCGGTGAAAGTTGCCTACAGTAGGCTCACGGGCCTCACAAACCCGGAGGGAAGGGGAGGTCTCGGGCAGCGTGGCTTTCCCTGGTGGACGGTCACCCATCCAAGTACTAACCACACTCGGCGTTGCTTAACTTGATTACCTATTGCAAGCGCCTTAGCCCGCACGGCTACCCCAGCCCCCCAACGCATTCGCTTCTTACTATTTTGTACTCTACAGCATGACTTTAAACGAACTTTTAAATGTTACTAGGGCACTTTTTATGTCATCAACTATTTATAGAAAGGATTGTATATTATATTTCTCGTGTTTTGAAGGTTGTTTTCATCCTCTAAGATCAGTGATCGGCCCCCAACAACTACAGTCACAGCCACTGCCGCACAAGTGGCTGAGACTGTAGTTATTTTCCATTTTTTCTAGGTTTCTATATGCTAGGGAATAATATAATTTTATATTTGTCATTAAAATGACATTCTTATAAGTTATTCTTTAAATCCACCTACATTTAATTATTAATTTATATTTTTGAACTGCACTTATGAAGTCAGCCATGATGATACAGTTCTCAATAAGTTGTAGATTTAACTGAAACCATATGCTAGATAGGAAGTATGTTGTAATAAATTAAATTTATTTTATTGTATTTAGATATGACTTCACTCCATTGCATCTGGCAGAAATATTTGGACACCAAAGATTTTTTGAAATACTTGAATACACAAGTATTACTATTGACCCTCAAGATCGATACAGAGTTCGAGATCCTGGTTTGGTTCAATCCAAACTAAGAAATCACACGAGAACAATTGAACTTTTGTTGGAAAAAGGTGCTAATGTGGACATACAGGTCAGTTTTACCATCGGGCTCTTGCCATGTTTAAATAAATTTTTATGGTTAATATTTGAACTTATTTAAGCTATCGATTTACAGGATAAGGCATTTGGATGGTCAGCCTTACATTGGTCTGCTGCTATCGGTCATTTGGAAGTCACAAAAATGCTTGTTAAAAACGGAGCCCAAATAAATCTGCCCTCTAGGATTGATCAGACACCAATGTACCTCGCCAGACTATGGGGTAGAAACGAAATTTATTACTTCTTACAATCACAGGGTGGAGTATGGTAAATGTTTCATTTTATCAAATGATCACGCTTTAGAAGGTACATAAAGACAATGATATAAGAATGGCCTTTATCAATATTTCATATGTGAAAAAATATTTAGGAAAACATTATGTATAGTTATCATGATGAATTATTTAATTTATATAAAATGTAAAATAAACATTGTTAAATTACTGAACATTATGAATTTATACAATAAATTTCCCTTTCATAGTAGAGGAAAAATAATACCAGGAACTGCTTTTTTGTATTAAAAAAAAAAATACTACACTTACAGGCAAGGCAACATTTCCAACATAAAGATAATGAAAAAATAAATAAAAATGATTTATATATAAACGATGTAAAATAAATCCCTTTGGTTAACGGGTAAATCAATTCCTCGCCAGTGACCATAATATACAGGTTTACGGATAAATTTTTACCACTCTAGTGACCAAAAACACATATTCCACATACATTCTTTGGTTTACGGGTAAATTAATACCACGCCTGGGACCACAACATACATTCATTCGTTAACAACAATAATCGGGCGGTCACCCATCCATGTACTAACCATGCTCGACGATACTTAACTTTGATTACGTATTGCAAGCGCCTTAAACCTTTTTTTATTTTGGCCAGATGTAGTATTTTAATAATGTTCTATTTTGTTATTCTAAAGGGTCTTTGTCCCAGAATAAAGTTATTTTCTATTTCTATTTCTAAACCACGCCGCTACCCCGGCTCCCTATGAAAATTCTACTAAAAGAATAATAAGTTCCTATTATCTTTTATCTGGAAACGATAAATTTCTCTTAAAGCTTTCTCCATTTTGATCTTCTTTTTTTTCATAGTGTAGATTTCATCAAAAGGGGCTTGAAATAATAGTCATTGCCTTTCAACTAAATTATAATAATCTTCTACCTATATCTAATAATAATATTTTTGGTATATACATTGGTCAGTATTGGGAGAGAGTTTTAGAGGGAGAAAATATGCCATGTTCTCAATACCTCATCTATACATCCAGTATGGAATAATGACCATGAGCCAAAGTACAAATTCCGTCGATATGAAGGCATTTATCATCGTGTGGCGAAAGGGAAGTCTTTGTCTGTACGAAGGAAAAGAGTTTATGCTGTTTCGAAATAATTGAACGAAACGTCGTCTTGAACTCTTTCCGTCGCGCAGTGCAGTTAGGTAATCTTCAAAACTTATCGTATTTTTAACAGCTGATTTACTTATCCCTTTCGGCGTTTTGATTACTTTATTGGCGGGAATTCTTATTGAGTACATCTTCGCACGAATTCCGACAAACTCGGAGACGGCACTCCGTTGGCTTCGTCTTTGAATTTCCCAAATTTAGAGGCACAACACATCTCTGGTACCCATTAACCCGGGGATCTGTGTTATAAGGCTGAAGGAAAAATTCTACAACTTTAGTGTCTTCAGTTGTTATGCTCCCACAGAGGTGGCACCAGAGGAAGAGAAGGAACCCTTCTATGATCAACTGGACAGAGCTTTTGACAATTGCCCGCAGAGCGACATCAAGGTAATCTTGGGTGACTTCAACGCTAAAATTGGCAAGGAGGAAGTATTTAGGCCAACTATTGGAATTCATAGTCTGCACGAAGAGACTAACGAGAATGGGCGCCTCCTGATTAATTTTGCCGCCTCTAAGAACTTAGTAGTAGGTAGTACTCTATTTTCTGGGAAGAGGATCCACAAGGGTACTTGGAGCTCCCCGGATGGAACAACAGTGAACCAAATAGACCACATCCTCATCAGCAGGAGGCATAGATCTCCTATGCCTAATATAATATGATGAGTTGCAGGACTTAACGTGGTGCGAACATCGATACTGATCACTTCCTTGTGGTGGCCAAGATTAGGGCAAGAATATTCAATGGTCGAAAGGCCCGGGGAGAAAAGGTGGAAAAGGTAGCTGTAGCCAAGCTTAAAGACCCTGAGGTAATATCAAGGCATCATCAGCAGCTTAATGAGAGACTTGAAGACCCCAGAGCAACAGAAGGATCAGTACAAGAGCAATGGAGCTTAATTTCGTCGATTGTCAAGGATGCAGCCAAGGAAACGCTGGGTCTGGAGGCGAGTGTAGCGAGGTAACCATGGTTCGACGATGAGTATGCAGTGGCTACGGAGGAAAAGAATTTCGCCTACACAAACATGATTCAGAAGAGGCACACAAGGCTAGCTTCAGAGGAGTACAAAAACAAAAGAAGGGAAAAGGGTCCATCGGAGGAAGAAAAGGGAATGGGAGCGAAAGCAGTTTGAAGAAATGGAAGCCCATAGGGATGGAAATGAGACCAGAACCTTCTACAAGAAAATAAATGAGAGCAGAGCGCTGTTTAAGCCAAGAATTAAAGCCTGTAGAAAGGAAGACTGCTCGCTACTGTCCAGAAAGGAAGAAATCCTCAATAGTTTTTCGCGATATTTCAGCACTCTCCTAAACGAAGATATCGAAGAGCCGGAGACTTTAGGAGCTCATGACATGCAGGACAATTTGCATCCCCCTGATCCACCAACATTTGATGATGCAGGTGCTCTCAGTCGCCTCAATAACAATAAAGCACCAGGAGAAGATGGAATACCGGCTGATCTTCTCAGGTATGGCAGCGAATATTCTATTTTTCTATTTTTTAATATTTTCTTGTGCATACATTTTTCATGTTTTACAGGTCTCATTCTCATTAACTTTTTTTCCCTTCTTTTCCACAATTTAATTTTGCTCGAATTCACCCCACCTTTGAGGAAACTCATCGGGGAAAGGTTTGTATTTTAATTTTGAAGCACCCCTGAGCCCAACACTCTGTGTAACATTATCCTACCATTTGGATCGAGGAAAAGATCCCGGTGGAATGGAAGATGGGCAGAGTAACTCCGCTTCATAAAAAGGGCGATATTCTGGAGTGCATCAACTACTGCGGGATAACCCTTTTTTTTCTCCTTCTTTCCCAACATTTTTAATTTTACTCAAATTTTCTCCACTATTGAGGAAACGCACCGAGGAAAGATCTGTACTTCAATTTTGAAGTACCCCTGGCCCCAACATCTTTTGATCCGGCCCGGAGGACTATATACGTATGCAGCGTTAACAATATTTTAATATTGACGGAGCTTTACTGTGCCTATTAAAGGTCAACATTTTTTATCTAATGAACCAATTGTTTCTCCACTTAGTAATTTGGCACACCTTTAGCCACCATGTGCTAGAATAACATACAGATTTTTAATAAAAATAAAAAAAATAAAAATTTCAAAAACAAAGGTTTTGTTTATCTCTGAAAAATATTATAATTTAGAATTTAGTCAAGTCGTATATCAAAAGAAAGAGCATAAACAATCGAAAAAGATGAAACCAGTTTCAGCTTTTTAGGTCAAATAGTTCTTGAAAAATAGCCACGAAACTATTTACAAAATGCACCTTTTTTGAGGTTTTTTATTATTTTAAAAATGTAGAACTCAAAAGCGAAGTGCAAAAAATCTAAATTTTGTATTTTTCTTTATATTAATGCATTTAACAAATAACCAAAGAATTATTAAAATCCAACACCCAATGGGTCAGGCCCTGATTGATTTTGGTATGGCATAACCCTATAATATAATTTGGCAATAACGCGCGATGTATAATATAGATTTTTAAAGAAATTCAAAATTTGTCTGAACTGTGGTTTCGTTTCGTTTATTTTATGTTGATAAAAAATAATACAATCTGAACTAGAAAATAAATGTAAATTACAGTTATACAATTTGAGCAACGAGTAGGTACAATTAAATGATCAGTTGAATAATTTGTAAAATGGGGGTTGGTCCATTGTTGCCGTATGTACGAGGATCCTCGTATTTGTACGAGGTTATGACGTAATGTACGAGGTACGAAGATAGACCAGCCTCATACCTCGTACATACCGTTTGCTGACGTATGCAATGCAAGGTTATATTTTTATGAATGAAGTTTAGAATAGTTTTACAATTATTTTTACTGTATTGTTATTTATATTGACATGAAATACTGAACTTCTGTTGCTTTATAGACAAATATATTGCAATTATATCTTCTTTAATTAGAGTATAATTATTATTTGCTTCATAAAACCATGGCTGTATATATATATTTTTTTTTTATTTTTATTTTTTATTTTTTATAAAATGAAATTTAAAAACATTTTTTTTTACTATAATTCATATAGAAACTATTATGATTAACTTTAAACAACATGGTCAACATGTAATCGTTCTATCTGCAGAGAGGAGGTTGTCTTGACCAGACGAAGAATAGGCCATACCAATCTAACCCATTCACATCTCGTTAGCAAACAGCCACTGCAAAAATGCCAATATTGTAACAGAACACTTACAGTTAACCACATTTTTCAGGAATGTTCTTTCTATATCTCGAATTTAAATAGTTTCAGACTCACACCCCCAATATCAAACATCCTTAAAAATGATGAAGACACACTGCAGTTTGTGTTAAATTTTCTAAAATCAATCATCTTTTAAACAAAATTTAAAAGTTTAAATTCAAATCTAGTTTAGATAACCATAATTAAACACAGGCGTTGATGACCACGAGGTTCTACGCCTTAAAACCCCAACTAACAACAACAAAAACATGTTTTTGGAGCCGCAGATTTTGAAAATGACCTCCATTTTAAGATTAAGCGATTACGTTTCGACTTATTTAAATTTTTCGGATTTATAAGATATAAGGGTCTACTAAGGGCCTTCCCCCTACCTCTTTAAGAGGAGACAGCCAAGGTGGGAAGGCAGGTATAGGTCAGACCAATGACCCAGCTCTCGGCTGGGAAGGCAGGTATCGCATCCACACCAGTGACCCAACTCCTAACATGAAGGCAGTCCGCCTTGGCATCCTTAATCCGCAGTCAAAGGATTAAGGATGACATAAACTGGGTTTTTTACACTTATATATATATTTATTACAGTGAAAAAGAGTTTGAACACAGTCATATTAGAAATAATATAAATAGGGAAAACACAAAAAAAATCAGGATTATCATGAAATAAATATTGCATTTAGTTTGAGGTTGTTTTCTGGTTCTAAGTAGGAGATCTTATAACAATAAAAGGTAAAATGGGCACTTCTAAAAAAGATCTCAGTATACCACTCAATGTCATCAATATTGAGGCTTATAAGTCGAGAATTCATTTTCCAGCATGAAAATGAATGCTCACAGTCAGGACTATAAAAAAGTATTCGATAAGAAAAGAAGGGCAAGGATAGTTAAAATAATTATTGTGTAATTTTATCTCAGAATCCTGACCTAAATGTTATAGAACATTTGTTATAATTAATGAACAGAAACAGAATCTAAAGACAACCAACTTTTCTAAGAGTTGAGTTGGAATCTTGAAGTTATGTCCTACATTATGTTTGGAAGCATTTTGTATTTAAAATACTTTTTCTAAAAACAATTTAAATACGTGATAAATAAAATAAACTGCACTTTAAAAACACCAAATACTTAGTTCTTTAAGATAATAATTAAATTACTTTTTTTCCCAAATCTGGGAGAAAATAACATTCCATATTTTTGTAATCATTCAGTGAAAGTGTAAATGGTTATTTTAAAAAATTATCATATTAGCCACACATTTATTTCAATAACTTTTATTTTATTTTTTTATTTCTTTATTTTTCAATAATTTTTTTTCATAATTTTAAATTTTTTCCATATATACAATACAATATACAAAATGAATTCGTCTTGAGTTATAAAAAATGATTGGAATTGACATAATTTGGCTAAACTATATAAGTTTTATACACAATATATAAAATCAGAGTTCATAGTTAATATTGAAAAAGTAAGATGAAGTAATTATTTAATTTAAAAAGTACAGATACAAATGGTTTCACATATGTTTATCACAAAAAAAGTAAAAGTAAAAACATAATATCCAACTGTAAACAGTTAACAAAAATATCTCTCAGATAATCAATCTAAAGAAAGGAAAAATTATAAATATATATACACACAATCAACTCCTGATCACCTCCCTCCTCCATTCCCCGTAGTGATATAAATTAAAAAAAAAAATACCCTTATATAATTTTTTATGCCCTTATATAGGCAGAAACCATGAGCGAAAACAGTCATGCACCAAGGGTTAAGTTTAAAATGTTTCTTGAAGTTAATTGAGATTAACGTCAATCTTGTAAAAAAAAGTAAAAAAATTATTGACTAACAACATTATTCATTGGATGAATTATGATGCTAAAGATCCTGGTTTTGAGCACTTCACTGAACAGCAAATTATCAATAAAGTAAATGACACAGAAAAATTTGATAAAGAATTCGGAGAAGAGTAGGACAAATACAACACAACAAATAAATCATGAAGTGGTATTGGACACATATATTTCATTATTATTTAGAGTAAGATGGCAAATTACTAGTTGATAAACCTAATTGATGCTAAATCCAATCTTAAATAAAAGAAAGTGATTTCTAACCTGAAAATGAAAACAAGTGACTTATGATTTTCAAAAACTGAAATCAGTTTTTTTATTTTTTATGTACTATTACATATTCAATTTAAACAATCTATTGCAAGTTGTCTAATAGATTTAATTACTTTATAAGTTGTAAAATAACTTGTTTTTTAGAATTTCTACAACTTTTAATTTAGATGTGGATTACCTGTGAATTTTGGTTATCCGTGACAATCACCATACATACTTCCAAGGATAGATAATCGGGAGTTGACTGTATACATCTACATGTTTTATATACATATATATATATATATATATATGTGTGTGTAAAATTATTGCTAAATTTGGGTGATAAATTTAGGTATCACATAATTCGTTTTTTATTAAGAACAGAGAGGAATGTTTTAAAACAAAGAAAATAATAAGGAATGATATAAACTTATTTTTAAAACAATTAAAATTCTTTTTCATGCTGGTAAGAAAAAGAATGTTTTCAAATAGATGTGCTCTTGAATCTGTTTCACCATTTTTCATCAGCTGACTGGCTATCCCATACAATGAAAGTACACCACATGACAGCCCTATAATAAATAAAAATAAATTTTAATTAAATAATGGAATAAATAAATAAATTTATATAGGGTTTTCTGTAAGTAGAGAGAAATTTTTATAGGAGTGATAGCAGACATCAAGAGCTCCAAAAAAAGTTCATTTAAACAATGTTGGCCAATTTCAGGCAGAAAAGTAGAAAATCCAAGTTTCGAGATTTTTTAAGCAAGTCTTGCATTTTGTTGAATAGGAAGCAATAATTACATATATATTTAATCTAAGTAATTAACAATTGCTTCACTTTAAACTAGTATTGGGTGATAAATATTCAGGACGCAGTCATTATAAAATATTTTATTAGTGCCAATGTTTCAACCCAAACATGTTGATCATCAGGTCTGAAAATTTTTAAATACAATCAGAGATATAATATTATAAGACCGATAATGGTAAATAATAAACTATAGTGATTGGTGGTACATGAATCTTAACTAATATTACAATACACAATATTAAAATGAAATATGTAAAAAGTTATACAAACTAAAAATAATGTATATAATCCATTTATAAAAATTTGTAATATTTTCTTTTACTAACCATGGTTCGGGCACTGGAGGTTTTTATGTACTGACTAGTGTTGCCCAAAAATGGTCTTGGTCTTGGTCTTGCACTTTTGCAAGGCCAAGACCAAGACCGTTTTGATTGTTATAAGACCAATACTAAGACCGGACCCTGCAAGTCTTGCGCAAGACCAAGACTGACCTGCAAGAGTCTTGTGTCTCACAGTTAAATAAAACTGAGATTTGTGCGTTATTGAGTATTTGGTTTCCATCTACCTATAAAGTCGTTATAACACTGAAATCTGTTGTATTGATTATTATAATGTGATATTAATATGGTGTTTCAACATTTTAACCTTGCATTAAATCTAAACAGTTTTCTTTTTCTTCTTCTTTTTTTTTTTTTTTTATTCATTAATATTTACAAATGTATTATAAAAAAAAATACAACTAGTAAATGTGCACACAGTAATAATACAATCACATGAAAATGCCTGTTGAGAAACTACCCGTTGGTAGCACTCTAATAATATATTTACATAAGTAGATCACAAGGGCATCTTCTTTTCAGACACCTCGGAGGGTTATTAGGGATTGAGGAGGAAGCAAGGTTTGAAACAAGAGGATTCGGATGGTTCTGTAGTTTGTTATAGAAGGATAGGTATCTGGATTGGGCCATGTCTTCTTAAATCATGAATTTGAGCTAAGACCTCCAAAACTTGAAAATATGCCAAAACTGGAGTAAGATAAGATAACAAAAAGAAATTGGTTTTGGTGTATGAAAATGAGGGCAAAATAGTTTAAAGCACAACGTTAGTTACTGCATGTAAAGGCTAGAAAATGCAATTTATTTTTTTATTCGGCTCTTCTTTTCTATCATCAGGGTTTAAGGCAGTAATATCACTAATATATAATGATAACATAACTGACCACCAACGCCACCTATGATGATAATAATTAGAGACCAGATTTCCATGTTATTGCACTTTTGATTCTCTGGCGTGTAAAAATTCTGGACCTGAATATTTATCCATTTCAGGACCTGTAGAATAACATATTTAATTTTTATATAGCATGAAATTGCACGTTTTGCTGTTTTTGGCTTAAATCAAACGATTTTGATTTTTGTTGCATTAAATTGCACATTTCTGCACTTTTGTGCTAAATTATACGATTTATAAATAAAAATGTATAAGTGAGTGTGTTAATATTTATTTAACCATTTTCTTACTATTACTTTTTATTTTACTATATTGTTCAAATTAAATTCATTATTCAAAATAGTAAAATATCAGGAAGGCAACTAATTTTGTGTGAAGCAAAAATCATATTCATTACTAAAGAAAGAAGTAAACACAAGTGAGATCTATTCTTGGAATAGAACTTACCTAAAGTATTGGGTAATAAAAAGCTGCTTTCCTGGAATTAGCTGATTTGTTAGTAAGACATTTATAGTTATTGTTTTGGCTTGAAACCTCACTCCCGTTCAACCCTTCAGTATCTCTTGAGGCTTTGAATTGATTTGTAGAAATTTCACTATAAAAAAGAATTGATAATGCTGAAAGTAAAATCTAGTCTCTCGTCAAAAATTAAAATCTGGATATAAAAATACCCTGCTTTGAAATGTGAAGGCAAAGAATTTGATGAGAAAGTTCTATACACCTTATGAAAAATCAACCAGGTGAAGGAAATCACTGATAGACGCTCATTATGGAACATACAAGAAAAAAATATTCCTATCAAAGAATTAAATGTTTTTTTGAGGAGTTTGAGGAGGAGGAGAACGTAATTCCTAAAAATATTTTATTTAGTGATATAGGAAAACAGTAATTCCTAAAAATATTTTTTTTAGTGATATAGGAAAACAGCTTCAACACTAATATTTGAACACATTAAAATCTCAAACATTAGTCTATTTCAATTTTTTTTTTTAATTCTTTAAATTTTAACAAAAGCGTTTTGGAATGTCTTATACTGGAAATTTCAACCCTACTGAAAAATAAAATTTTCATTATTTTTTAATAAAAGTTAAATATCTAAAATTAGTCTGGTCTATATAGTATATAGGTACCTATAATTCCTGCCTTAATTTATTCCTTCAAACCTTCAATGCTCTGGATTATTTGATAATAATCGTTATAGTAAACCGAAATTTCATTTTCAATGTAACATTTCAATTTTTTTTTTTCTAAAAAACTCAGTTAACAGAAGATCTGATAAGATTTTGATGTATTAATGTTATAAATTAACTAATATTGATGATTTTACACGTTTTTAGGTGTTAATTACACAATTTTATGTATTTTTTATTTTTACTGCATGATTTTGCACATGTTGAGTTTTTTACTGCACGTTTTCCGAATTTTTACTGCACGAAAATCCGGTCTCTGATGATAATGCTGCATCAGTTACGACTTATCAAATGATTATGTGGGATTCTTCACAGATACACCTACTAACTTCGTCCTCTATCTTTTGAATTATATAAACATATGTATTTATGTTTTAAAAGATAGTCTACATAGCAAAGTTCAAATTTATAATCCTAGATCGAGCATAGTAACAGTTTTTGAGCCAGCCAATATTATGACCAGAGCCCGATTTTTATGCAGTAAAAAAAGTATAACAATGCCAAATGAATATGAAATTAGTTAAAATACTATTTCCTAGAAACTCTAGAAGTTTGCTACTAGAAGACTCATAGCGAAAAGTCAGTTCAGATTCTTAAAAAAAAAAAATTAAATGAATAAAAATTTCTTCTTCAACACAAATCTGACATATTTAGTAATAATTAAAAACACAATGTAAGATATTTATTAATCCTTTAACGACAGTGGACTCGCATATGACAGTGGGCTCTTCTCTTGAAATTGCGATGTGCTGAGTGATTCAACTCTATTTTCAAATTATCTGGCAACCTTTTTATGAGACATTAGGTAATTTTTTGTTTGGAAATTACGGGAATTTTTTTCATGACCTCAGCAGATTATTTTTATGACCCTTGCGACCCATACCTGACAGGCCCTTGCCTTCTTTTATATCTGTATTTATATCTTCAACAGATCTATACCGATCTTGAGTAGTACATGAAAAATGCAAAATCCAGTAAGATCTTTTTTGATCTATTTTGCAATTTGGCCCTAAAATAGATCTGTTTGCAATTTTTCTCTAAAACAAATTTATTTTGTAATCTAGCATAAAAAAGATCTATTCTTGTGTTTTCATTCAGAATTCAATTCAGTTGATTATATAACCAATTTATGCTAAACTAAATATCTAATTATATAAATTTAATGAAGGTATTTAAAGAATTAGCGAACCTTTGGGTTCACTAATTCTTTTATTTTTATTATTATTGTTAACCTCACAGCGTTAATTTATTTTATTTTTGCAGTTAAAAACGCCACAGGGTTAATTTATTTTATTTTCACAGTTAAAACCGCCACAGCGTTAATTCATTTTATTTTACACTTAACTAGTTTGATTAATTGTTGATTTGATTTATTTTAGCAAAGTGAAATCAATTAATAAGATGTATATTTATGTATAAGATATGTGTATATTATGTATTATAGGCCCATAGCTTATATTGTTTATATTATATAAATCAATAGTTTATACTTGGGACTTGTTATGGATTTTAGCCCTAGCTATAAACAAGTCCTAGGTCCAAGTCCTAAGCCCGTAGACTTCGCAATGCACAGTCTGACTCCGTCCGCTATAAAGCTCAGGTCTGCCAACTGATGTACTGCCCACTGCGGTCTACTTTTGATGAATTCTCTCTCTCTAGCCACCATCGCCGCTGCCCACTTGCAGTTCGTTTTGAAGAGTTACAATTGGTTTCTGCATAGAGACAGATTTACAAACGTCCTGCTTCGTCCACGTAACGTTGTACAACTAATTATTTGTTTTATATATATATATATATATATATATATATATATATATATATATATATATATATATATATATATATAAATTTCATATTGGAACTCTAGAGAAGTTTTTTTTTATTTATTGTAATTTGGGCCATAGAATTTTTTTTTTTTTTATGATCAAGCATGGAAATATTTCATTAATTTTGTCACAATTGTTTGTTCAGCTGGTCTTCATTTTATGCTAGAAGTTTGTTATTTTTTAAATATTTTTTTTACCTATCTAACAAGTGTAAAATTGATTCATTTTGTTTTTATGTTTTCAATATTAGATTTCGTAAATGTTCCAAAATAAATGTTTGAAGATACAGTCCACTTTCTTTCTTTCTTTTTTTATTATCTTTTATTAAATCACAATTAAAGAGTTAGGCTTCATTCTAGGTTTGACATAAACTAAGAGGGAGCTAACAATTATTATCATCAATTTAATGAAGAAAAATTAAAATTCCCTTGAAATAGCCAGATATTTGTCTAGAAAACATTAGTAAGTAATATCCTAGACGAAAAAACAAGACATTTCTGTATTGAGTCAGAAGATTCTTTGATTCCAAGAAAGATTTCCTGTTTAGAATAGAATAGAATAGAAAAATCTTCTTTATTCTGGGACTAGGTCCCTTTAGAATAACAGTATTGTTCATATAAATTAACCATAAATCTGGCCAAAAGACTTATTACAATGAATAATAACAAAATACTAGTAATAAATTAAGTATTAATTAAGTTCTTAGTATAAATTAACGAGAACAGTTGGGTAATAGGAGTTCAGTACTACAATATTGGAGCTAAAACAATAGCATAATAATCACTGAATGAAATTAGAAAGTAATGCAAAATCAATTTTATAGGCAAAGCATTGTAGTGATGGAATATAATAAGGTTTCTCCTAATTATTAAATCTCCGACAACATATGTTATATTATATCCCTATCGGTCGCTGTTGACTTATTTGATAAGACCGACCTGGCTTTATCAAAAGGCTGTGCGACAAGTTTATTACAGGATTGACTTTCCAAAGAATAGAATAAGTTTACAGGCTTACAAACCGGAACGGACTGATTTATGAAAATCCTCCTTATTATAAATATATAATTATAAGTCTTATAGGTGATAAATATTTAGGACGCAGTCATAATAAAAATTTGTTATTTGTGACGACGTTTCAACCCAAACATGTGGGTCATCATCAGGGCGTGGTTTGAGCACTGGAGGCTTTCAAGTACTCCGGAGTACTTGATGATGACTCACATGTTTGGGTTGAAACGTTGGCACAAATAAAAAATTGTTATAATGACTGCGTCCTGAATATTATCACCTATGATATGTAGAACAGTCGACTAGCTTCCTTTAATAATTCTATGAGTCTTATAATTATATATTTCAGAAATATAAAAATATTTTTATTTTTCTGATAAAATAACAAATAATATTATTTGAATATTTAATTTTATGCTAATATTATTTTATTTTAATTTGTTTTTCATTCAAATAAATTTAATTATTTATTCCACAATTGTTGGATTTGTGTTGAATTCCTGTTCGCAGGATTGTTTTTTTGTTAGTTGCTTTTCAGCTCTGTGAAAAAGAAGTCAAAGTGAGCCTGGCAAATTATTATTTCCACAACACACACACACACACACGATCATAACTATAACTTTTGTTAAATAAAAATATGTCACTATTTAAAAACTGATTTATTTATTATCAATAGCACCGACCGATAGACGTTGCCATCTGGTCGGATCAAATTGTTATTGTTGTATAAATAAACTCTAAACACTAAATTTGTGTTCTATTTTTTATTTCAATAAATGCTAACATTGTATTTAAAGTGTTTATACCACAACTCTTACATTCCATCTAAGGTGAGGGTCTATCACTATCTATCTTGACAATGTCTTTAAAGTATATACATTCAAGTAAATTTGGTTGAACTTTGCTATGTCTTGGTCGAAAGATAGGCTCCAATGCATCTATTCTTTTGTGTTGATCTAAGCCGTAAATAAACATTTTTAATAAATAGTAATAGGCTAATAGGTAATTGCAAGACCTGCAAGATTGGTGAGACTCTTCCTGCAAGGCCAAGACCAACGCTGAGTGTGCAAGACCAATACCAATACCAAGAACCACGCCCTGAAGATGAACCACATGTTTGAGTTGAAACGTTGGGACAAATAAAAAAAAATGTATAATGACTGCGTTTTGAATATTTATCACTCACAGTATATATTTATATTGAGAATGGACATTATATGTGTATGTATGTATGTATGTATCTATGTATATGTATATATATATATATATATATATATATATAAAACGTAGGAGTAGTTACTTATGTAAGTGGACGGGTAAATAGAGAAAATGAAAAACAAATTTTTAATGATTTTAGACTATTGTTTTAGGAGGAGGAAAATATTCGAATATATGTTGCAGATCATTTCTTTATCTACTTTGTGGTTTACCGGATTATTTTTTTCCAAGTTAATGAATATAGCTTCAATAAGTATTCATTTTGGGTGATTGGGAACTGTGGCACTATAGTTGGGTTTTAAAAATCAAATGTGTGGTTGAGGGTTATGGCGTGTTCCGCTAATTTCGAGGCGAGCAGATTTCATGTGGAGATGCAGTATTTGTGTTGATATATTTGTTTTTTTATATAGTGGTTTCTCCTATATAAGAAGAATTGCAGTTTGAGCTAGAGCATGTGATATGGTATACAATATTTGATTGTTGTAGGAGCGGAACAGGATCTTTGAGTTTAGTGTATAGATTTCTTAATTTACTGTTATTTTTTAAAACTATTTGCAGATTAGGGAGAATTTGGAAGTTAAAGCTTTTTTGATTTTTTGAGATAGGACTGGGATGTATGGAATGGCGAATCGTGGTGGGAGATTGAGAGCAGTTTGTGGGAGACTGGTGATGATGAGGTTCGGATTGATTTTGAATAAGGTTTTTTATGATGTTATCAGGAAAGGCTATACTATCAGAAAAGGATACACCGCAGTCTAACATTAACCAATCCGCAGTTCCACGACAATAATCTAACTAAAATACACAAGATCCAGAAATCCAACACCATTCCTGGAAAAAAATAACCTGATAAACCACAAAGTAGATAAAGAAAAGACCTGCAACACATATTCGAATATATGTGGATATATCCTCTTAAAACAATAGTCTACAACCATTAAAAATTTGTTTTTCATTTTCTCTATTTCCCCGTCAACTTAAATAGGTAACTACTCCTACGTTTATTATATATACATATAATGCCCATTCTCAATATAAATATATACTATAAACAGCCACAGATATGTTTATACTTATACTATTAAAACTATGTAATCCTTAATATAATACATATTTCTATTATGATTAATATCGTTATTATTAAAATATAGTATAATATATTGCCCTACATATTATTTCAATCCATTACAATTGTCTTTATTATAAATATTATTTGGCTAAACATTGTATATCTTCAATCAAACCATGTTGTATTTATATTGATTGGCACCTCTTGCTTATGTTCATTTCATTACTAGCCAATAGGCACAATTCTGTAACCATCATAAACAACGCAAATCTTGTACACATCTTGAATATTTAATCAGCAAATTATTTACATTTTACAAACAGAAATGTTACCTCCCTCTCCCCTCTGACTATGTTTACATACCTTTTGTTATCTGAAAAAGGACAACTGGGAATTCCTACCCCGACCCTTTCACTTACCTACCAAATGTTTCAGTGCTTGGTACCTCCAGTGCCCGAACCATGGTTAGTAAAAGAAAATATTACAAATTTTTATAAATGGATTATATACATTATTTTTAGTTTGTATAACTTTTTACATATTTCATTTTAATATTGTGTATTGTAATATTAGTTAAGATTCATGTACCACCAATCACTATAGTTTATTATTTATCATTATTGTTCTTATAATATTATATCTCTGTATTTAAAAATGTTCAGCCCTGATGATGACCCACATGTTTGGGTTGAAACGTCGGCACTAGTAAAAAAATTAAAATAACTGCGTCCTGAATATTTATCACCCATGATATATAGAACAGTCGACTAGCTTCCTTCAGTAAACTAATATTATTTACTTCAAATAAAGATAGAGTTTGTCATTGTTAAAACCATTTAAATAGGACTTTTGAGCGGTTAAACTAAACGAAGTTCTGATTAAAAAAAAATCATAAATTATTTTTAAAAAAATTTTTATCATCATCGAACTAAATAACAGAAACCCCACTTTTAGAAAAACTTCCTTGTTTAATAAGCTTTAAGTCAATTCTAATGAAGCTGAGGTCAATTGGACAAAATTTTGAGATTCATCTCAAGTTGTGTGATAAAATTATGTGAATTTATATCCTGTCACCTAAACGTTTATTAGCTGTTGCAAAGCTTTTATTTCTTATTTTTCAATGATCATAGATATATTATAACAAACATAATTACCTAAATACACTTCTTATTTATAAAAATAAAAAATTTAAAAATGATTTTTTTTTTAATTTTGAATGTGAAGTGGTTATACAACCATGTTATGACAAACTTAATGTTTATAGCGCTAAAATTTACATTTAAAATAAAATCTAGTGATTGCTTCAATTATTTTCACGAATACGTAAAAAATTATGGCAAGAAACATTAAGTTGTGCTACTTATAAATACGGATCAATTTCTATGGTAGAGAAAAACACAGTTGTATAACCACTTCACAATAAATATTTAAAAAATTATAATTTTTTATTTTTATAAATAAAAAGTGTATTTAGGTAATTATGTTTATTACAATACACCTCAGATTATGGAAATATAAAAAATAAAAGCTATAAAACAGTTGT